CAACTGAATCAGCCATCATCCCAGAAAGTTGAATTTTTCCAGGGGAACTTCTCCCTTTCATCAAAGTAAACTTAAAGAAAAAAGTTCAATACATGAGCCAGTTTGTCATGTGGATCAAAAGGGGACAGCTCGATGTGCTGTAGTGCTGCCCCAGCCCGAAAGCTGTGTCCCCTCCACTGACAGCAGCGCGAGCATTAATCACCCAACTCATTAAGACAATCTGCACAAGTGCCCACAGCTCATAAACTCTGGAATAGACCATAGTGACTGTTTTACCTCCTGAAGCATCTGCTTATTTACTTCTCAATACAGTCAACCCACCCATGCACCCATCTCAGATGACACAGGGAGTGGCTGTTTACCTCCATTATCTTTATTCAGACATTGTTTTTCTTCAAGTACAATAAAAGAAAATCTTGATTGTCACTAACGTTGGTGACCAAGGAACTGCATTGAAAAGGCAGGGAAGGAAATCGATTCTCAGCAGTAATGCACTTTTCTCAGTAAGAACACGCTATTATAATGAATACAAAATGAACCGTGTATCTGTCAGGAGTGACACTGATTCTGTTGCCAAGGCGAGAGAGGATTACTGAAGGTAAACTGCAGATAGCGTGGCCTAAATGCTTACCATTTCCTTTACGTAAAGGAGAAACATGTACAAGGCTTTGTTGGTGCTGACTGAGCCAAGAAAGCTTACACACAAAAACAGCCCACACAATACGTTCCAGGGTCCCCACTTGAATAGACAATTTCCTGATGCTTCTCACTGCTGCAACATCCAGGTACAACGTGCATACTTTTCAATGAAAAAATATGTAATGGTCACAGTGAGGCTATGAAAAGATTTCCTGCTCACATGGACAGCCTCGTGTTCTCCCAAGGCTCCGTTAATGGGAACACTACAGGTGCAATCTGATGCCATGATCATTCGTGGGAAAGTGAATAACAGAATATCTACAGTTTAATATAATATCATACCTTCTATCATTTGGTAATAATTCTTTGTAATAATTCAGTGAGAAAATGCTTCACAGACTTCATGTATCATTGTGCAAAGGCACAGAGGTTTCTTGTAAAAAGACCTTTGTGTCCTAGGTGACGGAAACCTCTAAAAACAGGAACACCATCTTCTCAGAATGTGAGGAGTCAGACTTTTTCATACCTGATAGCCTGCAGGTTAACGTGAGCACCTTACGTTACCATGGTGATATGTACAGCGTGAAAAGTGAGTCCCTGCAGTGAGACCAAAAAGCCAGCCCAAAGTTAGTTTTCTAGCCGCTAATCCTGCCTCATGGGGCATAACCCAGAAACAGAGGTGACAAAAACTCAGAGAGCAACAGCCACGGCTGTGGTGAAAAAGTGACAAAGACAGCTGAGGGAACATGAGGATTTAAAGCGTATCAGTGACAGAGGTGAAAATAATCCTCCGACAAGCCCAGCGAGCGAGAAAGGACAGCAGTTGACCGTGAGATGCTAAAACGGAGATGTAAACAACAGCTGCTTTTCTGCAAAACAACAAGACTAGGCTAATCGATGGAGGCAATCATCAAAACAGTAGTGACAGCATAAAGATCCTCCTTAAAAAAAAAAAAAAATGTTTGACAATATGCTCATCTCAGAAAAACTTTCTTTCCATTCGCAGTTTTATATTTGGCAGTATGGCTCTGTTCTGGGGCCTCTGTCTTTCCTAGGCCTACGCAGAAAGCCTAAGGCAGATAGAGCAAACCTCCCTGCCCTTCCATGCGCCTACATGGAAAGCCTAAGGCAGGGAGAGCAGCAGCAAAGGCCCCCTGGGAACAGAGCAGAGCAGCATCAATGACAAACAGAAATGACACTGATAAGTCCAACACAACATGAAAAGAAGGAGCTGGGGTGGAGGTGGGTTGCAAAGCAGCTTGCAGGGGAAGCAGCAACAGTAGGCAGGCCTGAGCAGTTTAAATAGGGCACCCTGAATGAGATTCGCCAATTGGTTGCATAGAAAGGAATCATGTTTTCTATCAGCTGACTCCCCTCCATCAATCAGCTGATAATTGGGCTGTTTCTTGATCAGCTCATGTAGCTGGGATGTGAGCTGACCCTGACATCATGTCACTCTCATGCCAGTCTGTTTAACATGAGGCTACAGTCTGGAGCCAGATAGCTTAGCTTAGCTTAAATTCTGGCAACAGGGGGGAACAGCTACCCTGCCTCTATCCAAAGGCAACAAAATCTGCTTCATCAACAAACACATTAAATTTTATTTGTTCAATCTGTATAAAAAACATGGTTTTACAGGGCCAGACTATTTCTCGGGTGAGTGAACTAACTTCCTGGAGCCTCCACTGGTTACCTGGCAACCTGACGATGTCGAACTACAGAGAGACTCATAATGATTGTTCACAATAAGTTCTGGCTATAAAACCCCCATGTCACATACATAAAATAAAATGGCGCTGAGCAAAGGCTACCTCTATTGGTTAGTTTTCTGCCACCTAAAAAAGGAACACCTAGAAACAACAATATCAGTTTGAGTATACATGACATTTAGAATATTTTCACTGCTTAGACAACCTTTACCAACAGAAGACTGAAGCTCTTATCTCAAAACCACCAGTCATTTTACTTTGCAGAACACTGGAGTTGCTGGTCTACTGTTACATAGATTTGTAAGTGTTTAAGGTAAGTGGAGAAAATATTCTAAACATGGCATACACTTGAAATGATTTGAATTTTTCTTTTTTGTTCTTTTTTGGTGCTTCTTTTAAGGTGGCTAAAATACGTTTTGACGGGGCCCCCATCCACAGCAGTACACTGCTCGGTTTCGATACTGGTAGATTTGGTTTGCCAAAGATGATAGCAAAGTAACGCAATAGGCCTACATAATATATGCACAGCAGAAATGTTGTAGATTGGTCAGACCACTGTGTCTAACTATATATCTTAAACATTACAGTTACAGCCGAAAATGACAACACAAATTTAGATGTTTGCTGATTTCTCATATCTATGCAAATGACCCTTCTCTAAGTCTTGCCCCCACGACGCAGACTGGCCAATTATAACGTAGCATCGGGCGGCTCAGACCAGGGTCTGACAACAACACAACTGTGCTCCATTGACTCTAATGTAATCGTTTCAGATTTCCTTCATTTTCAGGCTGGTTTTGTGGATTTGGAGCTAAATGTTGTGCCTGGGGCACGTCCTTTATTAATGATACTCGTTACCTGGAGAGGCTGGAAGAAGATATACGTTTCTTCCCTGTTCCAAAACCAAAATCAGACCCTGAAAACTGTAGGGTTAGCTAGCTAGCTACTGAAGCTATAGCCTACTAAATGTAGGCCTATATGCTGCTTTTGCTCTTTAAGGATCATAACACTGAATAAAGATCGACCCTGCTCTACAGGGACCAGTGAAGGGAAGCAGGGAAACTTTGGTGATATTAAACCAGCTGTGTGTCATCGCAGTGTGCGCAGAAGTAAGGTACATTGCTCAGTTTCCATGCTGGTAGATTTGGTCAGTCATAGATGATAGCAAAGTAACACGATAGGCCTACATAAAATATGCACAGCAGAAATATCGGTAGATCGGTCAGACCACTGTGTTTAACTACATCTTTAAAAATTACAGTTACAGCTGAAAATGGCAACACAAATGAACAAGTTTGCCCATTTCTCATATCTCCGCAATTAAAATCAATTGCCAGTTGTCTGACTGATCGTGAAAAGTGATTGTTGTCGTTCGCACTGTCATGGCTATTTGGTCTTTGGACACTAAAAAGAGCCCATGTTGGTTCTTAGTATGGCCGCACATGTGGGCTCCACTTGCAGCCCTCGTTGGCCTCATTAGCAGTCCACAAGGGTAAAACACACTTGAGACCATTTTGGTACCAGCAGACAACATTTCATGGCCTCCACACATGCCAGCTCATCATTCACCCGTGTGACGCCCACATGGATATGTTGGCCAGGTACTGGGCTCCAAAATGGCTACAGTCCAGAACCTAAGCACCTGGCAAATTAAATGTCGAGCCAACGTTTCTGATTAACAGCTCCACAAAGCTCTCAATGATATACATCACGGTCATTCACAGATACGGGACAAATATTACAGCAGCTTTAAATCACAATTTATACTCAATCTGACTTGAAGGGGGGCTGTAAAACCAAACCTGCAGTATGAACCAACATTATAATGTGGAGTGCATGGCTCACAAAGTCAAAGTGTTTGTGAGTGTGGTGCTGACTGTGGAAGGGGTTAGGGCGTCCAAACATTACAATCCAGTCATCCCCAGCCCCCCTGTGCAATTTTCACGGAGGCTGGGTTTCATCAGGTTTTGTATTTCAGACCTATTGATTATCTGCAGTGAGGGGGGCACTGTGACAAAACCTCAGCAGGAGTTCTCCATCTGCAATAAGCCACGTGCCAAACACAGGCTCACGCACACACACATTTGGTCTACTGTGTTATTGCTTCCCTGGTTATGAAAGACAGGAATATGCTTACTAATAAATCTCATGCTGGCATTGCTTCTTTTATGGGATTATCCAATCTGCTGTGAATCAACAAAATCATTTGCAGCTTTATCTCAGCACACATGTAGCATTTAAAGATGTCCTTCCTCTATAATGTTTCATTTGAAGGTTGCAATCGGTTATAGCAGATCAATTCACCTCTTGCCCAGTGTCTGTAGTCCTCCCTTCCTAATCGATTCGTATCTCCCTGACCTTTGTGTCTCCTGTAGACAACACTGAGACATGCAGGGACAAACATGAAGGAAAACAGCACGTTGTGTGTTACTGGCCAGACTATTGGGCACACAAATTATAAAGAGTCGAATTAAAGTTAATGTTTTCTGCTCTTAATTATTAATTTTGAACCGCCGAGGACCTCAGATGAAGATGAGAAGACCTTACCCTCAGTTGGGTAGCAACACCGCCATTTAATAGTTGGACGGAACGCGGCCGCCATCTTGTGGCGGGAAGAGGAACCGCTACCTAGGCGTATACGTCACTGCCGCAAAAAAAGCACAGAGCGGCCGCTACGCTTTACGGCAGTTTGTGATTTAAAAATTTAGACATGGCAGCCTCGTTGATTTGCAGCGAAACTCAAAGCAGGTAAATAACAGCTCAAAATGAATGAAGTTTGCTCATGAAGACATAACCAACGGACTTACCTGTCACGTTTAAACAGCTGTCTCTCATTAGTCCAATACAAAACGACTCGTTATTCTGCATGTCATCCTCCTGTTAGCTAGTAGCTGTGTTAACTGGGATTTTTGTCTCTCCCAGGGTGAGTTCAGTGCTAAACAGAGATGTGAAGCAGTACGGGAAGAAGTACATGTTTGACTGCAACGAAGAGATGTGCTGGAACTCAGACCAGGTAAAACTACAGCACCATTATACATACTGTATGTATACTGTATGCAGGGGCGTATACATTCACCGGCCACTTCATTAGGTACACCTGTTAAACTGCTCGTTAACGCACATAGATGATCAGCCAATCACGTGGCAGCAACTCAGTGCATTTAGGCATGTAGACGTGGTCAGAATGACCTGCTGAAGTTCAAGCCGAGCATCAGAATGAGGAAGAAAGGTGATTTAAGTGACTTTGAATGTGGCATGGTTGTTGGTGCCAGACTGGTCTGAGTATTTCAGAAACTGCTGATCTACTGGGATTTTCACACACACACACACAACCATCTCTAGGGTTTACAGAGGATGGTCCCAAAAAGAGAAAATATCCAGTGTGCTGCAGTTTTCTGGGTGACATACTTAATTATATACGTATTCCAAATAAACTATAATAAACTGTTAAAATAGTTTCATTCATAATTTCTCATTTTCTTTGGTATTTTTTTATGATATACAGATGTGCAGTGGCTAATGTCTATGTTAATGTTATACAATGTAAAGTCTCTGATTATGTGACGAGACAATATGTGCACAATGGCATGTACTGGGGCCCATCATAACTACCTTATGCTACTTACTGTATTTACTACACACTGGCGTTAATTGCCATAGTGCCCTTATTTTGGCAGTAAATATACTGGAAACTGTAGTTTCCAGTAGATTTCGTAGTTTATTACAACAGGAAGTGATAATACCTAAACTGCAACTTTAAAATGCTACTTTAATGTTTACAGTCTGTATTTAAACTTCTCACAAAATTGCAAAATGTTCTCCAAAAATATTAGTTATTATTATCTTAATGTTTATTAAGATTAGTTATCTTAATGTTTAAGCCAAATCCAACTACCTGTTACATTAAAATCCATATTTATTCCAGTACCCTTTACACTCTGCACTATTGTCTATACTGTTGATAAATTTCAGTGTCTTGAGTGTTGTGGGAGCTACTTTGAAAGCATAGCTTTGCTTCACACTTCTACTACTACTACTACAAAGCTACCAGAGGGAGAAGTCTAGCTTGGTTATCTAAAACTTATGAATTATAGTTCAAACTACTTTGTAAAAAATATCAAATTGACAAAGTGCACTAAATGATAATAAAATATAATACAGAAAAAGATGGAGGCCAGCAAATGTGACACTCGGTTTAGTTTATTACAAAAAGTGCCCACTTGTTTACAGGTCATACATAATCCAAACAAATAAAATAAAATAGCCCAATATTCATGGGAAAGTGTAGGAATGTCAGCTTTGGTTTTGTATATCATGTCAATCAGTCAGACACCAGCCTTCAGAGACTAGAGTCCATGTGGGGTTAATGCACAAAGCAGGATTACTGAGTTAGCCAGGTAACTTCTAAAATAGCAGGCAACAACTTCTCTGAACATTTGGTTATAAAAGGCAATAAATACTTATGACTAACTGTTGTCAAGGGGGGTTAAATTAAGCAATGAAAAAAAATCCTCATTTTATGGCCCAAAAAAGGTCTGCTAGTTTAATCACATGGTGTTCACTACTCTTCAACACTATATAAATCTGTACATGGTAGTCAAATATTAGTTTGTCTTGTTTAACTTTGTTGTCCTTGTTTTTGATTTTTTGGCTGTTATATCTATTTCTGTGCAAGTACACTGAAAGTGCACACTTACTTCGCCAATAAAGCAGTTCTGATTTAGTTATCTGAGATGGTCCTGAATCTTTCACCACATTTTGTTTTAATATTTTGCAGCTTTGAGGTGTTTTTTTAGCTGTTTTTTTTTTTTCATGCATTGCATAATGGGAGACTAGTGTACACTCGAGAATGGTGAATATAGTTCTGTTTTAGGAGTAGTATTACAAAAGTGGGAAAAAGACCACAGATTTATTTTGTGGTTGCAAAAGTTATTTTGATAATACTTTTTTGAGTGAAGTAACTAGTATAAATGAGGTTATGGAAACTAAAATGAGAGTTGATGTAAATAATTGTAACTCATTTTTGAATGCAAATTTCTCTGTTGAAGAGGTAAAAAATGTTGTGGATAAATGCAAACGGAAAAAAAGCCTCTGGAATTGATGAAATTTCGAATGAAATGTTGAACTTGTAGACCATCTTGAGAGGACAGGTTTGCTTGTAGATGAACAAAACGGATTTAGACAATCCAGAGCATGTATTGATCATATATATATGCAGTAACTTCCATTATACATGCAAGAATTAAGTTGAATAAGTCCACTTTTGTTTGCTTTATTGATTTTAAAAAGGCTTTCGACTGGATTAATAGGGAACTTCTTCAGTATAGGTTGTTAAATTCTGGTGTTAATGGAAAGTTTTATTATGCCATCAAGTCTCTTTATCAAGCACCTGTTGCCTGTGTTCAGGTTAATGAATATACAACTGGATGGTTTCCTCAAAAATTTGGTGTGAAGCAGGGAGATGTTTTGTCTCCAACATTGTTCTCCATTTATGTAAATGATTTAGCTCTTCAAATTAAAGCATGTAATTTGGGAGTTAAAGTTGAAGATCAAACTGTAGGAATATTATTATATGCGGATGATGTAGTTTTAATGGCGGAACACGAAACAGATCTGCAGTTTATGCTGAACATTGTGGTGGAATGGTGCTGGAAATGGAGACTGGTGGTTAATGAAGATAAAACACAAATAGTACACTTTAGGCGAAAATCGCTGTCTAGAAGTCCAGTTGTTTTTAATCTTGGTTCAATAGTGCTGTTATATACTGATCAATATAAATATCTTGGTATGACACTGGATGAGCACATGACATTTAGAGATGCTGTTAGTGTGTTATCTCAGTCAGCAGGTAGAGCCTTGGGATCTGTGCTTAATAAAGTCAAATACTGTGGTAATCTGGGATTTCATACTTATACACAGCTCTACAGTTCATGTGTTTGTCCTGTGTCTGATTATGCTTCTGGTGTTTGGGGTTTCCGGGAGTACAAGTAATACTGTGCACTATAGAGCTATTCGATCTTTTTTAGGAGTGCATAAATTAACTTCAGTTTAAGCTATTTGTGGAGATATGGGATGGGAACCTCCAAACATCAGACATAAATGTGAAATGCTTCGACTGTGGAATAGACTTGTAAGGATGTCAGATCAGAGACTCACTAAAAAGATTTTTATCTGGGACATTTTACATGGTCATCCCTGGGCTAACGAGATGAAATCCTTATTTAATTTGAATGATTTTTCATTTATCTTTCATAACAGGTTACTTTGTAATATTCGGGAGTTAAAGAATAATATGTTTCTCAAGTATAAGGAAAAGTGGTCTGTCGATATATGGTATAAACCAAAATTACGAACTTACTGTCTCATAAAAAACTGTTATGATGTTGAAATGTATGTGAAGTATAACTTAAACAAAAGACAAAGATCATTATGTGCACAGTTACGTTCAGGAACATTACCCTTGGCTTTAGAGACCGGCAGGTTTAATGCCATTCCAGAGGAGGACAGACTTTGTCAGGTGTGTGAGCTCGGTGAAATTGAGAGTGAGGTCCATTTTCTGCTTTACTGTCTTGTTTATGAGGACTTGAGGGATGTACTTTTTATTAAAATGTCCTCTATTTATGCTGATTTCTTTTGGCTGGACGAGTATGAGAAACTTGAGTTGTGTTTTAGAAAGGGAATCTTTTTTGTTGCAGATTTTATTTGTAAAGCGTGGGAGAGAAGGCAGAATATTCTGTTTAAAGTCTGAGCCGTAAAAGGGGCTGTAATTATGTATGAAATGAAAAAAATAATAATAATAATAATGTACACTGCAACTGTACTTTTTTTTGGTGTCTTATAAACCCATGAGGGTTGGGCACTTTGTGCATGACACGTAAATAAAAATAATCAATCAATGTACATCAGCAGCACAAACAAAAATTAAGTGCTCTCTATTATGCATACCAAGGGGTTGTAATGGTATGACATTTTCACGGTACGGTATTACATAATTATTCTAAGCATTATTATTATCAAATATATAAACATCAGATATATACTCAGGTTTTTTGTTGAACAAACACTTAATTGCTATAATTGAAACTTGAAAACATCTTTTCATCAATGTGTCAAAAGTCTCAATTTAGAAATTACTGAAGAAAAAGGTAAGATTCTCTGTCTGGTTGCATTTTTTTTTTCAATATTATAAATAAACAAATGCACACTGTATCTTAACCATCGACTTTCATACCATGGTACATTTTGAAACCCTTATACTGACTAACATTTAGTCAAATTTCCAGTGAACACACCACATATTCACACCCTACTTACAGTTCCTTTGTGGTATAGAACAGAGATGAACCTGAATGTTACACTGTACACTTCACAGTGAGTCATCAGCAGCTTGTCTCTGACAGGGTGAATGTCAGTGGGTGTCTCTGGAGTTCCCCCAGTCTGTCAAGGTGTTGGAGTTGAAAGTCCAGTTCCAGGGAGGCTTCTCAGCAAAAACATGCAGACTACACGGTAAAACTCAGCCATTACATTTTCCAGCTGTAAGCCTCAGCGCAAATTGTTTCCTGATGTGATTATCCATCGCCGACTCATTTTGGTGTTTCCTATTGCAGACGAGATGTTAGGTGTGACAAGATGAGGCAAATTAATTTCCACTTGTGCTTTCTGCAGGTTGCCCAAAAGATGGAGCCTTTACAGAGATCTGCCAGTTTTACCCAGAGGACGACAACTCTCTTCAGATATCCTTCAACTATTCGGCATCTGACAGTGGAGATTTAATTGATAATAATAAGGATTTTTAATTCAATGCCAAATTGGGGAGCAACATTTTAAAATGGCGAACTGTATATGTTATACAACATCATTATTTACCTGTGCTCAAGGTAGCTATACATTTTACATTTAACTCTGCAGTCAGCTGCATTAATATTAATTTAAAACCAGTGACGTGAGCCATAAATATTTTCACGAGATATCTGCTGTAGTACAATAAAATTCAGCCTGTCAGTCTACACTGAGGTTATTACATCAGCTGAAGCTCTACCTGTCACTCTAGGAACACAGTGTTTCCTGTTAGCGTCCTATCTGGCTCATAATAAGTATCAGACAATATTTTCCTGCACATGTTTTCATTACTGCCATGCTTATCTTTTCCTTAACTCCACACCCACAGCTTTCCCATACAGGAGGCCCCTGCAGTGGACAAAGTAAAAATAATGTTTGAGAATAGTGCCGACTTTTTCGGGAGGATTATTGTTTATTCCTTGGACGTCCTCGGGGAGAAAGCCTCATGACCATTTTTTAAAATGCTCTCGTGAGAGAGGAAGTGACTCCTGAGTACAGGACGCAGGATGGTGTGGTGGCACTTGGGAAACATGTCATCTGCTCTGCCACCTCATGAACTGATGTGTATGTGGCCTTTTTTGGTATGGAGGCTTTCAGGGATCTGTCAAGCCATCTCACTTGTCATTGCTCAAACACAGAAGGCTTTGCATGGAGTCTGGTTGAGTTTTAATTGCAGATGTAACGGGTTTCTTGTGATTATAAAAGCACTTGTAATCATACTCTACGCTTGTATTGTGCCTTTGAGTTGAAGCACCATTCCAGTGGAACACACAGTATAAAAATATTTTTTATTAAAACATGTTTACAATCCTTTTTTGCTGTCCTTCAGCCAAACAAAATAATTTCTGCTGCTCAACGTTGCATTACAAGTTTTTGTACACTGTAATACATACAATGTAATGCATTAATGGAATAAACCATTTCTAAAAAAACATGTAGTTTACCCAGTGTTAATGTCACTGCATATGAACCAGTCTATTACAATGACTTGTTATAGTGACAGACATCTCAGTCATCTCACCACCGGTGACAGCTGGTCGTAGATCTGAGATCAGCTGCGTCAGAGCGTCCTAGTGTCATGTGGGTGGCTTGTAGAGTTTCAGAATATGGTCCTCCAACACTTTCTGAACTGGGAAACAAAAGAAATGAAAATGTTAACTCAGCATTTTTTACAGCAGCCTCATAAAAGAATGTATTTGTTAGGTATAAGACAATACATACTCTTTTTGTGTCCAAGGGCAACAGCTAAGGCCATCGGACTGTAGCCAGAGTCAGACTCAATGGTCATGTCTGCTCCTTTGGCTTAAAGAACATAGAGTAATATTAATTAATAAAGCATTCAAACAGAATGAATCATGACTTTAGATCAGGGGTGTCAAACTCAGTTTAGTTCAGGGGCCACATACAGTTCAGTTTGATCTCAACAACCCCTTCAAATTTTTCCTTTTTTTAGTGTAAAGAAAATCATTCCGAAAACGTTCATCCATTTACAAATAAATGATGAACAGCCTGCGATACTCTAAGAAAAATATATGCAAATTCAACAGTTTGTCATTTTTATCACATTCAATCAGTCTAATACTCTTTCATTATATGTGATTTTTTTTTTTTATAATTTCCCACATAAGTGGAAGCTATTAAAGAAGTAGGTTAAGTCATTCCCTGCCTTATAAACCATTTACAATCTAAAGTTTTGTCAGTGCCTCAGCAGCAGGGTTCCACTAATATTGTTTTAAGACAGGCATCATGCAGATTCTTTTGGACTGAAGCTGCTGGTTGACAACATTTTGCAAAATGTTCACTATCTTTAAATCTGACCACAGAAAGTATTCATTGTTTTTCCAGAGAACTGTATTTTGGTCAGGATGGAAAAGCCTCTGAGGCAGCATTTTACATCAAGTATCTACTCGCTGTTTTTGTTTTTTGTTTTTTTTGGTAAATATGTTTTATTGATTTTCAATGTTTTTAATCCCACAACAAAAATACAAAAAATGTATATTTGACATCAATTCAGTCATTCCTCTCCTGACTTTTACTATACTCAAGCAAATGTAGAAAGAAAGAGGAGGAAAGGAAATAAAAAAGAAAACATCTGTAGGTGCTACATTTATAGGTACCACCTTATTCTTTATCGTGGGGGTCCTGTAGCGAATCAAAAAACGTCCAAAAAGGGACTCCATGTCTTAATAAAGGTTTGAGAGGACCCTTTGAGTGTGTATTGATTTTCTCTAACTTTAAGAAATATATGACATCCCTGACCCAATGAGAAAAGGATGGGGGAGCATGTTGCTTCCAGTTTAGAAGGATCAAACGTCTTGCCAGGAGAGTGGTGAAAGCTTTAACCCCGTGGGCTTTTATTATGTGGTAAGACAGCTTGGGATTCCTTCAAAGTTAGACCAAGAAGTGCACAGACTAGGTTGGGGTCCAACTGGGTTTCAAACATCTCACTGAAGGCTTTAAAAATACTTATCCAGAGGGTGGAGAGGTTTGGACATAACCAATACATAAGCATTAAGTCTGCTGACTGGCCTCTACATCGAGAGCATCAATATTAAGTGTGCAAAGTCATCTAGAGGACCACATTGGACCCTTTGGCAGGCCGGTTCTAGCCCCTGGACCATATGTTTGACACCCCTGCCTTAGATCATAAATATGCATTGTACCTAGGAGTGCCTCCACACACTTGATGTGGTTCCCTCGGACAGCATAGAGAAGAGGAGTTCCACCGTTCTGAGAAAGAAATACAAGAATGTTAAGTAAAAACCAAAACAAATGTACTTAGATGTGTAATAGACGTTTTCAACCATCTTAACATTGTGTGTTGGTTTGCCATAACTAATTTATCTGATGAACTTGTGATGACATGTCAGACATAAAGAAAGTCATGATGTACCCAGTCATAGGTGTTAATGTCTACTCCATGTCTGAGGAGAGACTCAACAATGTCCACGTAACCTCCAGAGCTGGCCAGTGTCAGAGCGCTCTCCCGCTCCCTCGCTATTGTTTTGGGGTCTGCGCCCTGAAAAAAAAAAGAAAACCCATATATAACAGTTAGGTAGTGCATTTTGTCTACATGTGTGCAAGTCTTTGTGCACAGCAGCTGCTTACTTCTTTTTTCTAATATCTTTTATTGAGCAGATGGAATCCACATGTAGCCCACATCTGCATTTAAGGCTCATTTTTCTATTTACAGTTGTGCATGGTATCCTGACATTAATAATAGATCAAGTGTTGCAACAGGTACAAAGGTAAATATGAATAAGGCAGTAAAAAATAAAGTGCAATTACATCAACATGAAATAATAAAAAAGAGAACAATAACAAGCTGACCATTATCCCCACAATCACAGGTCAGCAGTCGCTTACTTCTAACCTTTTCCAAGAGAAAATCCACCATTGCTTTTTCTCCAAACGCTGCTGCCCACATGAGAGGCGTGAAACCCCGCTCGTCCTGTTTGCTGAGCAGTGAGCTGTCTGCAACATAAAGCAGGAGTTTTGTTCAATTCAATGTCAGACAGTGTAAAACTTCAATTAAAAGCCAAGTCCCAATTAAACACCTAATCTCTTTTACTAGCCCAGTGTGGCTACACATTTTGACAAATAAAGGCCTGTCTCGATTAGACGCCTGGTCTGGTTGTCTAGCATTTATTTGGATGTTGTTGGCTACCTCAAATTATGAGTTATCCTGTAAGTTATTCATATTCCTTTAGTCCATAAGGGTCCTCAGATCAAAAGAATAAAAAGGGTTTTTCATAAAGATTAATCTATGTTGTGAGTATTGTTTTAACAGCAGGATAAGGTGGTGTTTTGTCGGGGTGCCGGATGCTGTCAGAGCTAGATCAAATGAATGATTCATAACTGATATATATTATCGGCAAGTAATAATCATACTGATTTAAATAAACAATGTGATTGTATTTCCTGGTCTTTGCTGAGCAACACTTTTGTGTGAAAAGACTTAAAGGCCTGCCCCAAATATAAGCCGATCGATTTCAGTGATTTAAACAAATCAATAACTAGCTATTAAGTGAAGTTTTACGATAATGTGCATCCTGTTATCCTGCTCTGACACAGATTCCTCACCTTTACTCAGGTGTGCAGCCACTTGTGAAACCTCGCCTTGCGCCGCCAGCTGGTGTATGGACAGAGCTGATGGCGATAAAATTCTTATAACTCCATTATGAAAATACAATGCTTGTCAAACACACACACTTCTGTCAGCACTTCACCACCAGAGCATGTTCACCAGTACTTACAGTCTAGTGTTGCTGGGCGCACTGTAACCTCATTCCCACGCTGCTTGTTGGTCAGAGTGGTGGAGTGTATGAACAAACCCTCTTCATCCACATCCATGTTTTCTGGAGACACTAACACACACAGGTGAATCACAACCATGTCCATGTTTGTTTATTTTAACACTCCACACATCGGGTGGCAGCAGAAAAACATAACATGTAAGGAAAGTGATCACAGACTGGAAACTTGTACTAAAAGAATATATAAGAGGCACAGATACCATTGGACCTCTCATCTCTGGACTCGGAGGGACAAACATTAGCGTTAGATGGCCGATTATTTTGGCTTTCTGCAACCTCTTCATCACCTCTGGCCTCCATGATCACTGCAACATAAAACAAGACATATGCTACTAAATATTATGGTCCTACCCTCAAGAAAAAGTAGCCACAATTAGTTTATGGAGCAAATGACATCGTCCACTCACCACATCCAGCCTCACAGTCTAATCTGCGCTAACTTCCTTCTGGGCAAACTGAAAGTAAATTATCTCGAGTGGCACCGTGGGTCCCGCAGACCATCCCAGTGTGCCGAAACACATCACTTATCGCTCAGTTGATTAGCTATTTAACAAATCAATTAATTCTTTAAATAAGGAAATGTAGACACGTTTGATTCAACCCGCGTAACGCATCACAGCGCTTGGTACTCTTTGAAGGAAGAACTGATTTTTCATGATCGATATTTCCGTCCGGAACATTAACGTGTGGCACATGATAACAAAAACACGGAAGAGGCTACAATTACCTGACACAACTCGCGTATAGCACCATTGTGTTATCCGTTTCTGACTGTGATTACCAGCCGACACAATGGAGGACCAGGAGATGCAGCTGAAAGTTAGACGAGGTAATTATTAGCAAGATAAATAAAACTACAGCTCACCTCATTGTTGCCTTTCAACGCTGCAGCTAAGCTAGTTAGCACATTAGCCGCTAAGCTAACGCGATGCTAGCACTTTGTTTACTTCGCTTTTTGTCCGTGTCCCATGCTGCTGGATGTTTTCTCCATTTATTCTAACGCAAGTCGTGTTGTCTCTATATTTATTTGTAATTCTTTGACTCTGTAGTGACCGACAAATTCACGGAGAGCATGTACGTGCTGGCTAACGAGCCGTCGGTGGCTCTCTACAGACTGCAGGAACACGTCAGACGGTCGCTGCCTGAGCTGGTGCAACACAAGGTACTCAGCCTGTGTCATCATGATGGAGAGAAAAAACTGGATGTAAAGCCACTGGAAAATTAAAGAAATAGTGCAAACATACAAACATACTTGGCACAATATGGTGTAACAACATTATATCAGTGTTTGCTGCCCAGAGCATTTGGCAAGCTAATGCTATGTCCTAAGATCTGACAGTGAATGACAACTTTAGCAACTAACCCAAAAGCTGTAAAGGGTGGGGAAAAAAGTCAGAAACTGACAAGTACAACCAAACCCAATATAAATATTACAACCAAATGACACAAACATTCCTGACAGGAATATTTGTATTAAAAATCAAGCAACTGTGGATGCCACAAAATAATGGATGGCTCATATTCACTCTAATAATGTACACTGTAATCAAAACAAGACCTGCTCCTTGTTATATCTTTAAATGACATCACACACATGCCTCTGCCCTTCAATTAAAGGTCAGAAATTGCTAAATTAATTAGTTAAAACTGAGGCACTATTGAGGGTAAATAGCAGCCAGGGTAAGAGACTACAGCATGAATCGGAGGGTTTGTTTGCACCGCCATGAGTCCAGGTGAGAGAGGTGGAGGTTAACATCACCGATCAGGGTGGTTAATTGCTCCAGTTTAGTCATGAGGTGAGTTGGAAGCGAGTGCTGACACCTGTGGGGTCTGAGTCGCAAGGAGAGGGAGAGAGGAGGGAGGGTAGGAGGTATTGACCAGGTTGTTTTAAACAGAACACAAACTAACAATGAGTCAGATTTAATTGTGCTCATGAAATAAGTAATGGTACTGTAAGGAAGTGATTTTAATTCATCACGCAGCCCGTTCTCAATGTCGTATGAAGGTGTGGGAGGTATGAGGGTCCCTGTGTGTATGCAATAAGTGCATACAAGCTTGTGTGGGTGAAGATTCAACATCTAATGTGATGAAACCATATATGACTGCATTATATGACTGGAGTAAATCATTTTTGTTTGTTTGGGTTTTTTAAGAAATGATATGTAACACATGAAATGTACTGTATTCAGAACCATGCTCACTCAATAAAAGAAAAACAGGTATTTAAAAAAAAAGTGAGGCACATAATAGTAAAGAAGTAACATGAATTCTGCTTGAACTTGTATTTTCTGTAATTGTGTTTGGGGGCTGTTATTACTCTCTGACGTCTTTTCAAGCATCAGAAGCTTTTGTGGTAGTTGTTTCAGTTGTCACCCAGGGTATCTGTATGTCCTTAAGAAGTCTTAAATTCAATTTTATAAATATTGGACCTTAAAAGTCATTAAATAGTCTTAAATTTGAATTTGTGAGGTCTCAGTTGCCACAAATATATTATCTAATTTCATCCATCCATCCTTTAATTTCTGTAAGACAAAAGCTCCTCTGCGCCGTGAAAGTCCACATATCTAATGTTACAAATCTTTAAACCTACCACTGAACCTAATTCTGTCCTTTTAGTTTATACTTGTACTTACCAGTTGGCCAAATGTAGATCTACTTAACTCACTCCAATAACCACATTCCTACAGAAAACCTACCTCTGCACCAGACTACATATATACTACTTACTTTTTTAATTACCTGCAATGCTTGAATAAAAAAAACATGATTTGTCCAAAACTCAGTCTTAAATTTGGTTAAAATTATCTTGAAAAAGTCTTTAAAAGGCATTAAATTTAAGTGTCTGACACCCTGCATCCTCTTGAAGGCACAACATTAGTCTTAAAGAGCGTGTGTTTCGTGGTAAAACACATTGCTTTGCTGTCAACAGCTGTGGACAGCAACTGCTAGTATAATGTGGTTTTCTCCTGAATATTTAATTGATGTGTTTTCTCTCACACAGACGGACATGCAGAGCTGGGAGGAGCAGAGTCAAGGTGCCATCTACACTGTAGAGTACGCATGCAGGTGAGCAGAAGCATAGACAAAAATATTTGCACAGCCCCACTACCATGTCATGGCTGTAAACACTTTCATTGATCTGTTGTTTTTCGCAGCGCCGTGAAGAGCATGACGAACAGCAGCATGTATTTCAAAAACATTGACAGCCTCCTCCGTCAGGCCATCAGCATGAAGGAGCAGATTAGCAGCTCTCAAGGACGCAGGTAGGAGGCAGCAGTGAATACGCTGACTGAGACACGGTGATGATGTTCAAAGTGTGGAGGGGTGAAACATGAAAGAAGGTCATCTGATAAAAAGCAACAGAATGTGAAAATTTAGATGCACAGCTACACATGTCAAGCAAAGTTCTCAGTGGCTGTTATCTGACTCAACTTTTCTATAGATGACACATGTTTATAGCTGCTTCAAAGTGTAAGCCCTCCAGCACTGCAGTGCCTGCGGGTATGACATTTGAAAGGTTAAGTGTGACATAAGTACTATAACTCTGCAAAACTCAGTGCTTTTATCTCTTGAGTTTTTCAGTAATATAAGAGTGTTTGCGAAAATTCTTGAGTCATGTGGAGGAGGGATGGTCGTCATTGCAGCTGGTTTTTATGTACAGTTAACTTTCCAAACATTGACATACTTTATTTTGTCAATATTTAAACACACCCCTACACAATGTGTCAAAGATCCACTTTAACGTTTACTAAATCTCTTTCAATAATTGACTTATTTAAGGGTAAAATAAGAGACATAAATGACTCAATGTCTGGAGTTTTGTCATGTTTGCATCCATTCTTTGCTCCACGTCACATCTTTAACCTTTGTTTTTTTTATTGTTTTGGGACATCAGCTAATACAGCTTGTTTTTACCTTTCTGTTCATGCCACTTTATCACCTCAATAACTGCAAAATATTTATCAGACCTGTGCTAAACTCTTTTGTAGTTACTGGGAGCTTCATGTTTTCTGTTTTATTTGCCTGTGCTTATTATAATTTTTGTTTCCCACTGACCCTTGCATGAAGCTTACATGACGTGACCCCCTCTCCCAGTCCCCCTGTCTCTGCTGCACATGCCCCCACCACTTCCTCATGACCTCTAGACAGAGGTGTCCAAGGTTAGTATTTTCTCCAGACATGATATAATCACATTCAGGCCTGTATACTGACGAAACTGTTTGTTTGTTTGTTTGTTTTCAGGTATTGAATGTGTATTTAAATGCCATTTGAAGTTTACAGGTGTTTGTGAACATTCTTTTAATGTCTTTTGTCAAAAAACATCCTACATTCAAACTGAATTATATTTTCTAAAGGTCATTAATTTATACTTGTTGTGGCATAATTTTGAACATTTAACAAAACACATTATGCACAAATATTTGGCAAAAAGCCACCATATACAGCAAAGTAAAGTATTCACATTATTACATTGAAAGCTATACATTTGTGATACTTGGGCGACACTGGTGTGTATAGTGAAATTTAAATCAAGCTCATTCATTTAAAAAAAAACAATACAAATTATACAAAAGCTGTGCTCAATTTGTTTTTCATTTTGTTTTTTAAAATGCTTTACAATCTGAATAGAAGAAATCATTCGATGAAGGTGAAAACTTGAGTATGTTTTTCAATCTGTGTCCCATGTCGTCCTCGTTCAGTCAGGATAAAAACATACAAACTGAAAGTTCTTCGTCTGTTTAAGATGACACTTGTGTTAGCAGTCCTCTTGTGATGCTTAAAGGTCATCAGTGTCTTTAACCACAAGCTCAGCTTCCTATAAGTCACACAAGAGTAGAGTCTTTTGCGGAAATTCCTGACTTGCGTGCAAGGACGCTCCTCATCTCATTGTTTACCCCGTTCCAGGGTTTAGTCTGGGCCTGCAGTAAACCAGATTCAGTAGACAGGGTCCTGTGCATTCGTGGACAACTGCCGCCGCTGCTGTAGCCGTCTTTATCACTAGCGTGGCCTTGGGAGCCTGTGGCAGGGGAGTACTGCTGTTGCTGGTATTGCTGCTGCCGGTAGGGGATCGGATGCTGGAGGTGAGACTGGGTTCGGTGCATGCGCGGCTTGTCCACGCCGATTTTGAGCTCGCAGTGTCGGGACACGGGAGTGGTGCTGCTTCCGTGGTCGTTCTGGTAGAGGGTGTCGAGGTGGTCGAGGTGGTCGCCGTGATAGCGCTTGGCAGTATGAGAAGCTTTGACCAGAGAGTGGATCACAAAGACCAGTAGGATTAAGATCCCAGAGGAGAGGACGCAAGCGCTTGCAATACCTGTCTCCACCTCAAATATGAGCAGCATGAAGATGGACATGGCTGCAAAGAGAGAGAAAAAGAGAGAATTCATATACACAGAAACACTTAATGACCAGCAAACGATGTTCATCTGTCTAATAACTTCACTTTACTTGTATCTAGGTTTACTGCACGATTATTTTCACATTCCTTTTTCAACATCACAGCAATGGATGCTTTACAAAAAAATCTCATTGTGTTGAAATGTCAGATAAAGGCTAGCTATTCTTAGCTGAGCTGTTCTATGTTTATCTCCAGGAAAAGGACCATGGACTCAGGCATGCTAAAGGAAGGGGGAGAAAAGCACGGCTCTGGGATGTGACGCGACTTCGTGAGCTGGCGGTGTTGTTCCTACAGTCCCTCGCTCCGCTACGTCTTGATTGAGGCCGGAGCGGGGTCACAAGGGCGACACCTCCTCATCACAATGGAGTGACTGCCTCCAGTGACCTCCCCCAGTACAAGCTGCTCAGTGGAACAGAGCGCCACAGCGCTGCCAGGTTCAGCATTAAAAACACTTAAGTCATGGACGCTGCTCAAAGAATGCATTGTTCTCGTGGACTCGCTGGACGGACCGGGGAGAGAGCAGTCGTGCTGGTTGTGCCTCTACTGTTGAAAATCAACTGCAGCACCAATGTTTTGGACTCTAGTTTTCAGGGTTTTGTGAGTTTATTGTTAAACGATTAAGACTAAAAAGTACCCTGCATGCAAATTATAAAAGCTTAACACACCTACAGAAGGAATGCAGCAACAGGTGTCCAGTTCTTCTCTTTATTTCAGAGTTAAATATATGAGACGCCAGATTGAGCAACATGTTTTGAAAAGAAAATTGAGCTACTGTTCTCACCTGCCAAGTAGACAGAGACCCCGAGACAGAACAGTCCGATAGCCACGTGTCGCACAGCTCTGCTATCCAAAAGGAACCAGTCTGCTCTGTAGGAACAAATGTCACATGTTCATGTTTACACTTTAACACTGCTGCTCAATGAAGATGATTTTCTGCAACATAATTTCTGTGTTGACTATTTTCTTTCGTCTTTTAATTTCCCCCCTAATAAGTTTGCATATCAGAACTCTGTGTACCCAAACACTTGATCACTGATTATCTGGGTAAGTGCAAGATATTTTGTAAAGCTCATTATTATTCACATTTTCTTGGAATGTCCCCTCTGTCAGTGGGGAGGTCCCGGGGTGTGCTGTTGGATTTGTAAACCAACGTGGGAAAGGGCCAGCTAGAGGCCGTGCGCTGGGTGCATAATGAGAGGAAGGCCATTGTTTAGATGGGATTCATAGGGGTTGAGGGGTGGGGGTCGGCCGGCAGCATTGCAGCACGGGCCTCTGCACTCTGACACATAAGGAAGGCCCTTTTATGCTTCTGAAACTGTGTTTTCTTTTAATGAAACTTAATGCAGTCGACCAGGATCTGCTGTGGTTTACCAAGAACAATTAAAGAAGGTTGTGTGGGCATAGGAAGAAACACAAACTAAATACATAACATGTTTTTTTTTCCACTTATAGCAACAGTGTTGAACAGTGTGAGACCAGAGAGTATGTGCCTATGTAGAACGCAGCACAATACAGTGCTGCAAAACAGAGGGCATTGATTACATTCTTGGGTTTATTTGAGGCTGTTCTTCGTGCTGGTTTTGTTTTGCTCTGCCTTATATTGAAAGTTTACTTATTTACATATATGGACAAATATACCACAAACTGCAGCCTTAAATATTAAAGGTTAAAAATTGGAGAAGTTGAATTAACATCAGCTTAGTGTCAAGAAATGTTCAAAACAAGTTTGCCCCTTGTAGGATTTATTACATTGTATTGGATTGTATTACATAACATGAAGGGTGGGGGTTTTCCCGGTCATTTATTGTACCAAAACAAGTAGTTAAAGTGAAATTAGACAGTGTTTGCTTCACAGTGACACTTCAGTACAGGGGAGACTGGGGGTGAATGGCACACTTTTCACTCTGTCGTATCTCTCTGGCATAATTTATGTTAAAATATGCTAACCAGCAGCAAATAAAAGGATACAGTCTCAGCTATGAATACATGTGTTTTAATGTACAAAAATGTTTTCCAAAGTTTGGTGATTTGTGATTGAAGTCATGATGTGCATTTACGCCAACCTGCCCCATCAGGGGGTTGGTGAGCACAGTGTTAAAATGTCATAGTTTCAATAAAATGAAGCTACCTATGAAACAATCCAAACAGGACCAGACAACATGGTCATTTAATTTAATATCTGCCCATTTGTTTTAATCAAACACCATTTTTAAGCAATTTATTTGAAGGAAGATCGAATTACTTTTGTCACTGACAATTCAAAATAAAACAATAAATGTGTTTTTTATCATTCAACATACTTTAATTCACTCAAAATACAGCTACAGCTGTTCATTTTACAATTGCTACCCAGCCCCACTCTGATTTGACTCAACTTTGTGACAAAGTTATGTCCGTCAGCGACCATCACTCATCACAAATTTACAAATCTTACATCAAAATGTAGCTGATTCCTTTGTCTATTAACTAGAAATAACAGTTTTTCAATATCTTTATCTAACACAGATTTATAATACATCTAGTCCACAGGCCACTTTTTCCCTTTGATAGCTTACTATAAAACTGAAACGTCACCCTCACCAAAAAAGTTAGTGACTGTCAGATGTTTTAACGCATTCATACTTATAGGCTGTTCCACAATGGTACAATGTTGTGTGAGAGTAAGGTTCAGGGAAAGTTTTTCAATTTCTTTTAAACTTTAAGGTTTTTGAAAATTTACCATGAGTGTTATGTTGAATTTTCTAAACATTTAAAACTGTAGCCCTCTTTTTTTCATTTCTCACCATCATGGTTCTGTGTTGCTTTAAGGTCATGCACCCAGACGTTTACCTAAAGGTATATTTATTGAAATTTTCTTTAAATATGTTTACTTGTTCTATTATATGACAAAAAAACATTGCAAACATTTTTTTGTTTTACCAACTGGCATCATAATGCTTCCCATAGAGGGTTAACATAGTAGATGGGTGTGGGTGAAGAAAGCAGGGGCATTGTAATGGGGGGAAAAATGGGACTGATTACCCTGGGCCCCAGTGTGGGGGCCCCTCAAAACACCTGGAAGTAAAAGTTTGGTTTTGTTTGCATTTTTTTTTTCTGATTAGTGCCATCACCACATCAAACTTGTAGGACAAATTGGTTAAAAGACTGAACTCAGAATGAAAAAAAAGTGGACACTCTTTAATAGCCCCTCTCATCTGTCAGAGGTGCAAAATGCTTTAGTCCGAGAATGCACTAGAAAATGACTAAACGCAACTAGAGCAGAGTGACTGATAGTGCTTCTGGAGCACCAACATACATTCACATATTTTGCCAAGAAAGCGAAATCAGAGTTTTAAAAAAAGTTCCAAAGGTTGCGCTAAGCCCCGTTTCCACCAAGCAGTGTGGTACAGTTCAGTTCAGTACGCTTTTTTTTTTTGTTTCTACTGTAAAAAGTTGTGGATGGTACCAATGGAACTGTTCTGTACCATCCCCATCTTTGGTCCCCCCTCTGTTGGGGTACGTAGCACACAGATCTGGTGCTACAAGGTGGAGCTGTGTGGATAAATGAGGAGGAAATACAGTGAGTGCTGGAGGAAGCACTGAGTGACAACAACCCCGCCAACATTTAAGACTACTGTTTGCAGTGGAAACGCTCTAGGGGTCTAGGTACCATGTCTGAGGGGTTACTATTGGTGCCAAAGCTACTATACTGAAAGTGTTTGGTGGAAACAGAGCTTTAGAGAGGCATGGATTGAGAGAGGAAGGGCGGGGCGCCCCACAGACACTGCTTATACGTGGGGCCCAGAATTTGGTGCTACACCCCTGGAGGAAAGCAAATATTTTGATGTTACAGTTTTGTGTCTGTGACCTGCAAAGGACCAGAAAACAGCTGTGTGCCAACCAACCCTGGTCTCCCCTACTGTTAAAGCTATAATGTAGTTTTACAGTAACTCAAGTAAATAGAGTGTTAATTGTTGAACATGTGCTAACATTAGCCGCAAAAGCTATACTGTAACTACCTGGACTGAGCAAAGGTAGTTTTATTGATTATGAATCCAACTTTTTATTATTATTATTATTTATTTTTTTTTTTTTTTTTTAACTGACATAGTCTTGCTTTAAAAGTCGCTTTCCTGCATAAGGGAAGTATTTCAGATACTGCAATTACCTGTTAAGTGATTACAGGTGTGTTGAAGCCTTCAATCGTCACCCAGCCCATCAGAACTGACCGGAACTATCTGTTCCTGAACTATTTGGATCAACAGCAGCATGATACAAGTGAGTGAAACGGCTGACAGCGCAGACGCAGGTGTGTGGTTTTTTTTAACCTGTGGTAAAAGAGGCGCGTTACATGCAGGTTAAATACCTTTCCGTGTCCTGCTCTCCTCTGCAGACCTCAGTAGAAAAGTAGCTGTGGAGCAGACACACCACCACAGAGCTTAGCTGCAGGGTGAGGGACAGCGCGGACAGCACCGTGGACACAGGCAGCAGCACGGCCCAGATATGAGCCGGGATGACCGAGGCTGTGGAGGGAGGAGACTCCTTCACTGCCGTCTGCTGAGACTGAAGCTGGAAAATCAAAATGACCGATAAAACAGACATAATGGCCGATAAAATCCCCAGTAGAGACAACACTATGAGAGACCGCTGGCTGTACTTGAGCGTCATCTTTAGGGTGTAATCTCAGCAGGTCAGAATAAAAAGTTTCCCGATCCTTTGCACACTCTTCTTCCTCCTGCGATCCTAAACTCCCCAAAAGTGCGCTGGCATCGCAGCCTGAGCAAGATGTTCCCAGTCGGTCCTGTCTGGATGAATAGTTTCCTCCCCTGCATGGATTTTTGCAGGAGTTTGCCTGTTGTGGTCGCGCGCCCCGCTGCTCAGTCTGAGCATGTGATGTGCTTTAAATCCCCAGATTAAAAACTTCGCAACAACAATGGACTTTCCTCTTGGATCCTCGGAAACAATGCGTTGACGCGCTCCTGGGAGAGGCAGAGCTCACTGACCGAGGACAATAAAACAGTGCAGCCCCATTGCAAAGTTAATAAAACTTGCCCCCTAATTAAACAGCCTTTTTATAATGTGTGGAGTCAATACACATAAATCATACTAAAAAGGGCCTACTCCAAAATAACACCTGAAATCACTGTGGATTGGATGCCATATTTCATTTCCTCCACTCATAGATTAACCCACTTCTTATGGAGTGATGCATCCTCATAAAGTGATTAAAGGATTACAAATAGCTCTCTGTAACAGGCAATTTGATTGTCTGCTGCCCACTGAAACAATGCACTTTATAAGTTAAAGCAACCTCAAGCCCAGAGAGTCTTTTCCTGTGCAAGATGACACCATGGCAGGTGTGCATTTCAGCAAACTTTTAAGGAATTTGCAGCAGCAGCAGCCACCTTAACTAACCCCTCTTCATTGTAGAATACCCCTTTTATTCTCCGTCCAGCTCCTTGGACTCTCTGAATCTAATTAACTTTTCACTAGTTGCCTTGGAAACATGCACACTTTGCCAGGGATGCATTTTTTCCCCGTTGCATCCATTTATTTCAGAATAAACAACCCTCACCTTTACTTTTATGTGCATATCGCAACCGATAAAACCAATTGCATGTCTATGTGTGTTACTTAATGGCAATAATATTTAAGATTAGCTTCATATGCTGCTAGACCACAAACACCTTGACATACTTAAAGTCTGTGGCTTGTGTTACAGAGGACTTATTGTTCTGTTAGAGGTTGGGGTTTGGTAGAGGAGGAGGAAGGGAGGTGGGGAGGTGGGGGGGGGTGTAGTAAAGGTGTAGCCCTTATTCTGTTGAGATGTAGATAAGACTGGAGCTATAAAGGTACACAATGTGAACAATTGCTCTCACACATGTACACTGACCATGGAAGCTATTTCTGAATTCGACAGCCTCACCACATGCTCTAAAAGGGCCGTGGCTGATCTTGTCGAAAGCAGAAGTGAGAAGTTTCAGGAAAATGAAAAAAAAATGGACTTGATGCGGAAAGTTCTCAAAGGCACCTCTATCTCTGTCGTCTCCACAGCTCTGGCCTTATTTATATATTAGTAATAGTCAATAACTGTGGTTGTAATTCAGCTTCCAGTCTCCTGCTCGACGGAGCTCTCACTGTCTTTAGAGTAAATGTATGAAGAACACTTGCGTAAACACCACACTGAGGAAGATAGTGTGTAATTTCCCTGTGCTGCAGGTGATTTGCTGGCTGTATTTACAGATAGGGGTTGGCAATATTCTCTGTTGGATTGATGGGGCCCACGCAGATGAATCCTGGAGGTAAAGGCTGTAGCAGTCTGCAGGGATGTTGCTAACTATTGCATCAGATGCACAGTTTGAGTTACCTCTTGGGGATCTATAAGTGTGTGTGTTAGCGCGTATGTATCTATGTCTGTGCATTGACATGTTTTTGTGTGTGTGTGTGTGTGCGAGAGAGAAACAGAGTCGTTGTCCACACTTTCACAGATGATCTCTGCTAATAAATTTGTCGCTATATTATTTTTAGGAGTACATTGTGTCACCTCCCAAAAATAGTCAATAATGCAGCTCCAGCAGTGATTCAGCTATTACCTCTAAATATATCTAATAAGCTGACAGCATGTCTGTTTTCCATTAGTGTCTCAGCTTTGCTTTTCAGCATTTTATTCCTCCTGTTTTTCCTTTTCCTCTGACACACCATTTACTTTTATTAGTGATGCCCAGGGGGAGATAATAAAGACATATTAATAGTGGACTATGCAGCAGTTTTAACACACGGCACACAAACAAAAAAAATTGTATAAAGCAAGTGTATTAGTGGTTACTTTGCGTATTTTAATGCACAGTAAGAGAACACAATAACAGTTATAACTGTGCGATATAATGCGATCTAATACGGCAGCCTTGCTACACATACTGCCCCTCTTTGAAGCTTGTGTCAGATGTTAACAGACTATTGAGGGCTGTAACTTGTGGTGGTGGTGGTAGTGTAATA